GGGGACACCCTGGACGGGATGCCAGTCCATCACAGGGCACGAGGCGGGGGGACACCCTGGACGGGATGCCAGTCCATCACAGGGCACGAGGCGGGGGGACACCCTGGACGGGATGCCAGTCCATCACAGGGCACGAGGTGGGGGGACACCCTGGATGGGATGCCAGTACATCACAGGGCACGATGTAGGGGGGACACCCTGGACGGGATGCCAGTCCATCACAGGGCACGAGGCGGGGGGACACCCTGGACGGGATGCCAGTCCATCGAAGGGCACGAGGCGGGGGGGCACCCTGGATGGGATGCCAGTCCATTACAGGTGACACATACTCCCACACACAATCAGGCAGTAGGGGACAATTTACAGATGCCACTTTCCATAGATGCATTTTTCATTGAAAATAATGAAGACGGATGTGTGATATATTCTCTTTGTTCATATTTATATAGCTGTGCAGCACTGAAGTTGAAATATTTTTCAGTCGAAATAGCCCCTATTAAGACGTAATTTCTTCTTCTTTTTTCTTCTTGTATTCGGTCTATAAAGTACGAAAACAATTAGAGCAACAGAATAAATTGCCAAAGACAAATTTGATTAAAGTTAAAACATCCCCTCCAGCCACCTCTTTCCAAGCCTGGCATTTATTTGCCATTTGTGTTTCATACAGCGCGGTTTGTGTTGGATAGTCATGTAAATAAAAAAACAACGAGATTTCTTTTATTGCGCTGCATTTGTAATTTACATTTATATTGAATTAGCGGAGGCAGAAAGGGGGGGGGGTGATTATGCTGCGAGATTACAGAGAGATTACATCGCCATTGTGTCGTGTAATTAAAGAAGGGGAAATATAAAGCGCCCACGTGGCCCGTGGTAGGACCATTTCTCATTTAGGAGCTTTTGACGTCATACCTACAGGCTGTGTCATCAGGTAGAGGACAGCAGGTAATTAGTGCCCGGGCGCACTCCTGCGGTAGTACTGTGTCTTGAACTTGAACACATAACGACAACGTTCGATGAACGTTCGGATGACGTTTTCTTTTCTAATCAGACAGCGCTCTACGAAGGGTTTGGTAATGAAGCTGGAAGGAAAATGAACTCGGCTGACTCATTTAATCCCCGCAAGGAGGAAAAACAAAGCAAATCGACTCCCCCTCCCCGACCCCCACCCCCCCGCATGAATTAAAAAACATCTTAATTAGGTTCCAAAATGAGGGAAACTGTTTCGGGGAAGGTGGAAACGGTGCATCCGCATCGTGACCCTTGGTTAAACTGAAAATCTACAGCATGGAAAATGATATTTTTTTTTAAACAGTAACCTTCGACTGCGCGGCGAGATTATAATTGCTTGTCACGTGTTTGCGCTGTTGTTCAGCCAAGTCTCGGATGATCGATATTTGTTTATGTTGTCATTTATTACATGTAATTCCTCAAGGGAAACCCCTAGCACGAGCTGCGGCCTGATCAATATAATTTAATTACATTTTTGTGTCTTTTGTTTAGAGTAATTATAATGCAATTATATGGCTATTGTTGTTGTTGTTGTTATTATTATTATTCCTTGTTGCACACCATAGAGTTACAATCTTTGTACGGATCGTTTTATGTACCAGACGGTCCCGAACTGAGACCGAACGCCTTTTCAACGCCCCAGACCAAATCAGTGACTGCCCCCTAGCGGTTCTCCGTGATTTATTTGGCCTTTGGTTGTCGTGACAACGTCTTTTGATTGACAGCCAGACTAGGCCACCAGGGCCGCAGGCTGGGAGGGGCCGCTGTCCTTCGAGTGTTGCGACATATTCATTACCAGACCTCAGCCTGCCAGCAGAGGTGGAGGGTATCACAGAGACCAGAACAGCCCCAGATGTGAGCATTGGGAAGACTGATAATAGCCTTGATGGACTTTACGAATTACCCACTGGGTTGGATCCACTAAGTTTAAGTAAAAGTAATTGCTACGTGCCAACACCGTGACAACAGTAATCCAGAACTATCAGTAAAAACTCTAATAGTGGCATTTTTGTTACATCTTGAGATGGACATGCTGGGCATTCACTCTATTTGGACCGTGATTCACATCGTGCCGCTTCTTCCAGTGTGGCGGTTTTCAGAATTGCCCCATAACTTTCAGATAAACAGGGAGTCATTTGTGCCTCACATTGAACTCTGGAAACTTACATTCACTCGCCGGATTGGTTTAGAAAATTTGCTCCGCTAAGCACTAAACAGTTGACCTTTCACAATTTTATATTTAAGAAAAGGAAAGAACCTATTAAAAGTTTTAAATTACCTTAACGCTACACGTGAATAAAGTGACAGACTGATGTGATGAGGAGAGTTATATTATTATTATTAGTAGTAGTAGTAGTAAATGACGATGCAAGATTTCTTGGTTAGCTAGAAAACTGAGAAGGGTCTGGCTGCAGCCACTCAGAACGTGCACTCTCAGCCCCAGCACGCTCAGCTACTGACGTCAGATGCACGCTCAGCCATAACAGGAAGTGCAACCGGGGAATCCTCGTAGTGTTAAACTGCTTGATGACGTTAATAAAAAATTAAAAAAAAGTGCAAGGGAATCAAGCGCTAACTTGATTCTTGAGGCCAGAACGGTATGTTAAGGTTTATTATTTGTATTACTGAATTATATAGTTACAAGTTTATTTCATGCCATACATTATTGCAATGTAGTGCGTTAGTAACTTTTTTCTCTGACTGGAGTGAATTATTTCAGTTAGGGAAACTACTAGCCAGTTGGCTCACGTTATCTTACGGTAAAATAGACACATTTCTACTTTTAAAGAGCTTTTCATGGAGTTATCTTGTGAGTGTCTTCGTTTCCAGCATATAGTTTTTAGTTGTTCATTTGGTCTTCAGGAAAACGTTTCTCGGTCTCCTTACGGCAAGGCAAGACAAGTTTATTATCATACACAGGGTATATTTAAATTAGATGTTCTTATTGGTTTGTTTAGTTTAGTTTTTTTTTTATATCTCTTATCTGAAAAAAATAAACATTTGATTCCTGATGTCGTGACCAGTGATCCTTGTTTTTTTCCATCCATCTTTTATTAAGCACAGTTTGGTACCTCATGGCATATGTAAAGTGTATTACGTATTACAGTTCTGATCGATACATAAGATTATTAATAGCACAGAATTGTACACAGGATTTTTTAAAATTCTATTTTACTCTCTTCACACACACATATATATATTGTGTGTGTGTGTGTGTATATATATATATATATATATATATATATATATATATAT